AGATTATATCAATCGGAATTATAGTTATCTCAACTATTTCTATCAGAATATTCTGCTTGGTTCATTTTCAACCAAACATTTTTCTTAGTGAAAAATTGTATTTTATTTTACTATTAAAAAATACAATTGATAAATCAATTAAATTTGACTAAATAGTACTAAATAATACTCTCTAAATTCTCGGAATGAAATCTCACTTTACACAAGAATTAAAATACTATTACTATTAAAGTTCATTCCAAAGGAAAAAAATCTTACTTCTTTTTTTTTGAAATCTCATTCCAAAAGTGTAAAAAAATCTAATTCCAAAAAAAAAAGATTGAAAATCTATCACTCTTATTCAAAGTGAAAATATTTCATTCTTTTTCAATAGTTTGTCAAACTTTGACTCTTGTGGAGTGAGATTTCACTCCAAGAAATTTAGAGAGTACATCAGAAAAATGCAACGCGCGTTTATAGCACAAAAACTAGCATGTCTGCTACCAGGTGGCAACACAAGAAACGAAAGCATGTGCGGAAGAAAGGATTCGTCCTGCCTGATGTAGAGGGACGATTTCTCGTAGCTCGCCACTATCCATGAACAAAACGTCAGATCTTGTATATATATTTGCACACATTTAATTTTACCGGTATGCGTGTGTAATAAACTCGCGTGTGAGACACCTCGTCGCGCTAGCACATGCCCCACCCGTTTATCTTATCTCGAGTCTCTTATCGACGGTATATTTGCTCCCTCGAGGGCTCGACGACCCGCGGGATTAAAGCGTCGAGCGACCAACAATGAACCAAGAAAATTCGTGCCCGCCGATAGGGCGATACTTCACGCGACGCGACGCGCAAAGGTGAACGTACACCCGATAGGAATGAACGATATGAAGCTGACCACACGCGCATGTCAGCGAATCATGTAACGTGCTGATGCGTCCGGCAATTTTTTTTCTTTTCATTTTTTGCGGCTGTCGCTTCTGGCGTTCGAAGCACGCTACGATCTTGAACGCGCGAAAATGTTGAACTTTCTATATAATCGCAATTTTTCACACGAAAATCGGACGGTCTAAAAATATATGTAAATATACGTAACACGTTTGGACAGGAAAAACAGTTTTTCTAAATTTTCCAAAAAGTTAGATATAAATTTGAAAATAATTTTATAAAACATTTAAACTGTTGTTAGAATATCAAAAATTTTTTCAGCATTATCATATTTGAAATTCTCGCATAATTAATTTTGATAGTTCAACAAAATTATTTTCAGATCTGTATTTAGCTAAAATTTTAGGTTCTTCAACAAAATTGTTCTTTCTATGCAGCTATAAGAATAATCAGACCTAATATTAAAGATCTATTAATTGTAAATGTTGTTACGTAGTGGAGCATCATTATAAAATTTCACAAAACGCATACGAATAAGGGAAACGGTAGGAAAATGCGCAAATAGATTTCACAACTGAGTCTTGCTCAGCACGCGAGTTATTCCCTCCGGCAAAACCCTTTGGAAGCAATAAAGATATCGCGCGGATTTCCGCCAGCGCTGCGAATCGCGAGACGCGGCTGAGTCATCGCAGCACAAACACTTTCCTCGATTTCGACAAAAGCAAAAGAAATGCACGAGCGGCTAAACTGCTTCTCGTGTTCTCCATCGGACGCGTCGTGTCGTGAAGATTCGAACATGTCAATTGCAGCCAAAGTAACGGGGACGTCTTGCAAGAAGGACCGACGCGTGAGTAGATAAGCAAGCGAACTCGGCTCGTGTGACCATTAAACTAAATTCTTGCTTCGACGGCTCGTTAGCCGAGTGCACGAAAACGTCCTCGAAAAATCAGCTTCAACGAGTTTCACGATTGAAAGTTCGTCGCTCGATTTTTCTTTTTTTTTATGAAACTTCAATTGACCATCGAACGACGATTACGCTTCTCTTCAATGTGCAAATAATTTCCTCAAAAAAAAATCGATCTATCTATTTGGCTGAAATCGGTTATAAATTCTCTTTGTCTCTAATTTCGCGACTTAATGATTCTAGATTTATAGCGAAGTATTTTGGAACGAATTTTCACTGAGAGAAATGATTTTGTTATAAAAACAAATCAAGGGAAAGCAAATGTGATATTTGTTAAAAAAACGATCGATTTGTTACGATTGCAAATTAATTTGTCAATGTAACAAATAATCAATAGTATCGCTAGCAAATAAGAAGCTCATATATATATATATAT